AGTGATGTATAATTAATCATGTAGTACATACTAGATCTGATATGGGCATGGTATTGTCTAATCAGAAGTAGATGTATAATTAATCATGTAGTATAGATGGATCTGATATGAGCATGGTACTTGCTAATCAGAAGTGATGTATAATTAATCATGTAGTATAGATGGATCTGATATGAGCATGGTACTTGCTAATCAGAAGTGATGTATAATTAATGATATAGTATAGATGGATCTGATAAGGACATAGCACTTGCTAATCAGAAGTGATGTATAATTAATGATATAGTATAGATGGATCTGATATGGGCATGGTACTTGCTAATCAGAAGTGATGTATAATTAATCATGTAGTATAGATGGATCTGATAAGGATATGGTGCTTGCTAATCAGAAGTGATGGATCTGATAAGGACATGGTACTTGCTAATCAGAAGTGATGTATAATTAATCATATAGTATATACAGATCTGATATGGGCATGGTATTTGCTAATCAGAAGTGATGTATAATTAATCATATAGTATAGATGGATCTGATATGAGCATGGTACTTGCTAATCAGAAGTGATGTATAATTAATGATACAGTATAGATGGATCTGATATGGGCATGGTACTTGCTAATCAGAAGTGATGTATAATTAATAATGTAGTATAGATGGAACTGATAATGACATGACACTTGCTAATAAACTGATGGTTAATCAATCATATAATATAGACATATTTAACAGCATCATAGCATTTATTAATCAAAATGAATGCTTACTTAACCACACAATATAAATATGCTATATGATCTTTTCATAAAATATATACTTTAATCAGACCTTCAGAAACAACAAAAATACCTGTTTACTAGTCCTGCAGGCTAGATAGACATAGAGGGACATGGAACCTGTTAACAAGAAATCCAGACTAAATGCTATATAGAGGCTAATAGGCCTAGATACCATACAAACCCTGTTATTACTGTTGATAAAACATGCTTGTTAATTGGGCCTTGACAAACCTTATAGATTTACAATTAGTCCTACAGGTTAGAGAGACCTGAGAAAGATAAAATATCTATTCATAAAACATGTCATCTAATCATATCCAGGGAAAAAGCATTAGAACTCCAATTAGTCCTATAGGTTAGACAGGTCTGAGAGAGATATCTGAACAACTTACAAAACATCTAGGTTAACCTGGACTAAAGACAACACATACTTTGTTATAACGTTTAGAAATTACTTAGGACAGGTCACTACATCTGTTATCAAGCACTGTGGTTAAATGATATGTGAATATCAAAATATCACCTAAGAGTACTTAAGTGCTAAACAACCAAGAAAACAGTTAATGAGACAATAGATTAACCAATACAGCAAAAATAACATTGAGAGACATTAAGATAAGCTGCAATGTGGTACAAATCTTCCCAAGTTGACATTTATTTTCATAATTTAAGTTTGTCTATGATATGGAATATTAGATACAGTTTCTAACAGAAGAGTTATGATATAGTTTAAGAAATATATCATTATTTTCCCATTTCATAAAACAAAAATTTCACATTCTTATCCATGCACAAGACAAAACAAAAGTTAGGTTTTTGCCTACTCTTTTGCACACAACAGCTCCATTAGAAAGAAAAAGAACTACTTTCCAATTTATAAACTGTTTTTATAAAGGGTGAAAATCAATAATATATATATATATATATATATACGGACAGTTATCTACACATATTTACAGCACCCTTATAAGAACCTACCGTTTTAATCAATATAACTTATTATTTCCAGAGATTAAATAACAATACATTCTTCACAAAATTTAACTTCAATTTTATATTTTACAAAACTGCTGAAAGACCTCTACTTGTAGAATACAGATAAAAAAATTAGGCCTTCATACCTGTAGATCCTGAAATACATACCATGAATTCAACTATATTTTATAACTGAAGCTTTCATTCATCAAAAAACATTAAAAACTGTTCTATAATTAACAACTAAAACAATGAAGAACAATAACTATAAAACATTTATCACTTCATCACAAACATCACTTAAGTCATAATCAAAGCAGAAATTACCATTTTCCAAGCCTTCCATTATGAGTAGAAGTAATAGCCTAGATGTTTTGGCAAGCCTACAGACATTTAAGTATTAGTTTCCAACCCACTCACACCTTCAAAGATTACAGTTTGAATAATAAGCCTACTAGAAGCCAACTTTCTCTTCACAAGTTATAACCAGTCTCCTACCACAACAACCACCTCTATTTCCTGGATGATCAAAATAAAAAACAACAACAAAAACTGGTTGAACCAGTCTGCCATTCACAGAAACATCTTCCCACACTGAAAGAAATAGGTCTCAATTCTTAATTTGGGTACTGTCTTTAAACATTGTCTTATATCATATAGCCTAGCCTAGCCAGATTTTGTGTAAATTACTCTTCTAAAGTCAATTTAAAATGACTATAAACAGTTCTCTTATATAACATGAATGATTTTTTTAAAGTGATTAAATTTTAGTAACAGATTTTATGACACTTCACATATTCAAGCATAACTATTTGTAGGTGTTAACTTTCAAACTTCTGAATTTAATTCTAACAACTTTATGTATAGCCTACTTTAATAATGGTTTCTAGAAAGTTAACATTTGATCAAATAGCTAACAGATGCTGAACATCAAATTTAATACTTATTTGTTTCAAGTAGCTGTTAAGTTATAGAAGTTAGTTTTATTTTACTTCATAATACCCTTAAAACTATGTTGTATTATTTATATAGTATTATATTATCTTTTTTTAAGTGTTAAATATAAATGGTGTAGGATAATTTTTTATTGCAGACTTTATTAAGACTTGACACTTTTTTTTTAACAACTATGAAGAGTAAATTTCTTCTGCCACTTTCTTTTTTAAAAAGAAAAAAAATTAAAGTATGCAATATTTTCTTGATTTCAATAAATATCTGTACTCTACTCATTTAGAGCAGTCTACCCCAAAATTAAATTTGTTCAGAAAAAAGATGTTAAAAATATGTAAAATTTCCTTTTCTTATTATCTAAAAGTTTTAAAAAATAAACCATGTTCTCTTAGTTTTGTTTAATGACAATTTTCCCACAAATCTATTTTATTAAAAACAACTATGTAAATAAATTATCATTTCTTTGGATGTTATACACTTAGATACACACTAAAGTGAAATAACTAAGAAATGCTAATGATCTTTAACATTATTTCATAGAAACAATGAGTTTAAGAACAACAACAAAATTCAAATATTTATCACTTCTTTCACACAATACATTTTTACCTTTAGCTATACAAGCTGGAATCTAGATCTTGTAACCTCACTGTATTGAGTGGTTGTTTGTTTTCTATGTCAAGCAAGTAGATTTGGTTAGCAATGCTATTTATACTAGTAGTGTGGGAGTATATGTCTAAATTAGTTATACATGATCAGATACTGTAGAGAAAAGTTACAAAGTTCTATATTAAAGGATGTTTTACAAATTTAGAAATCAACCAATAACACACATGAAAAAACAAAATAGTTCTAACACATACCTAAAAATGTAACTGGTTTTCCCACAACTCCAATTCCAACATCTCGAACTTTTATTTGCTTTATATCATAAACTTTACTAATAAAAGGGCTGCCAGGTAGAGGAATGCCAAGATGGTCTACTAGAATTCTGTATTCTCCTGCACATTACAACAGAAAAAATTACATCATTAGAGTTGTTAGCACATTTAGTAAATTACTTAAACCAGTAATAAGCTCCACCTATTTGTCTTCTTCATAATAAATAGGAACAAATGAAGTTATGAAAGCATATGCTAGAAAATATACAATAGTCTTAGAAATGTCCAGTCTGCTCATAGATAATTTCTGTATTAAGTCCAGCTTTATTTTTACAATTCTTTGACCATATGATGTCTCCTGCATGCTCAATTGGATCTGATACCCAACTTTTCTACAGCTCTGTATACAATTTTCCATATATACAAAAAAATTATACACTTCACTTATTTAGAAATTAACCTATTTTTATCATTTTGTAATAATGATTTATATATCTTCAATTCACCATGTAATACATGGCATATTTTTTGACAAAATGTTTATAACAGTTTACATACATCATCATTCCAGACATCTTCAGAAATTAATCTTTCTTTAAAGTTACTTAATCCAAAATAAATGCACATACCCTTTCAGCAAAAATTTACAAAATTTTGTTTTTACACAAAAAAACAAAGAAATTCAATACCACAGTACAAAAAATACAATAAACCAAAAAGCATCTTTTCAAAAAAATTAATGTTTTTTACAGTGCTAGTGGATTATTATTTTCTATATTATATTAACAAATATTTAACATATTATAACTTTAAAGAAACAAAAAACACAATAAGTTAAAATGGTGGTTTCTTTTATGTTTTTAATGTATCAATTTCATTTAACATTAATAACAAATGGATTATTCATACATGCAAGATCACAGTTATGCAGAAACCAGTTTCTGAAGGGAGTGTGGACTGATAAAATACCTGTTTCTCGAGGAGTGAAGTCAACCTTAAAATTCCCTGATCCAGTTTCTTTAATATTATATGGTAATGTTTCTGCATTAACACCTACAAAATAAAAAGTAGTACACCAAAAAATTACTTTTTATTATTTATATTTGATTAACAGCTTTTACTAAAACTAAAACTGGTATTTGTTAAATATATTTGTCAACCTTAAATTCCAATGATTCTGTTTTTTAATACTACCTGGTAATATTTCTCCATTAACACCTACAAAAAAAGAAATAACAAAATAGTAAACAAAGAAAGTTTACCTTTGTAGTATATATATATATTGGTCAACAACTTCTACTAAACTAGGTC